CTGGCGCGCGCGCGCTGTCGCAATAATCCCCCGCGACAAATGGGGCGAAGCGCGCGGCGTATTCTTCCGCGAGCATGGGTTTTGCAAGGATTGCGAAAACGAGTGTAACGACAACATTAAATTGACATGGTCCCGGAACGCCAGTTAAAAACAAGCATGCGCTTGCGGTTCTCTGGGTTCTGAGACAAGCCGTAGCCTCTGTTTCTCTCGCGCCGCACGTCGACGCCACTCGGGCGCCCTTGCGCGCTGGGAGGGGGGGGGGGGGGGGGGGCAGAGGGGGCGCGATCCGCGTCGCATGATGCCGCGCGGGCCACTCGCGCGCGTTGGCCTCGCGCGCGCGTCGGGATTTTCAAAAAAAACTTACGTCGCCGACGCGAGGGCGTCGTCGTTGATGTTTGCAAGGGCATGCAACTTGTCAACTCATGTGTAAGAATAAACTGCACACCACATGTTCTCCTTTTGTGAACAAATACATTAAGATCACCCCCCTCCCCTAGCATTTCCAGATCCCTTTTCGGCATGGCAAGTTGGATGCGATTCGGCCCCATCGTCCATCTTGAATATTCATTCAGGCCATGCCTGGGCCAGGCAGGCCAGCGCTGGTGCCCCCTTTCTTTCTTTGCCACAACAATATGCGCTCAATCCCGTATCAACAACCAGCTGTTTGCAATGACCCCTTGCTAGAGAAGCGCGGCTAAGCGCGTGCGTCGAAATCTGTGGAGCGCAACTTATATGTTTCGCAGGGGTTGCAACGTCGAGTGCCCCGAGAACATATGCAAATACGTGGTCTCGCAGTGCATTTCTTGGAAAAGCCTGCGCCCGCGCCCCTGCGAATTCTGAAGAAAACGATGCGTTTTTCAACGTTTTCAAAAAATGCCGAATGGGCCTCGCGCGCGCGCTCGTCGAAGTCGCTCGAGCGCCCCCGCGCGCGTGCTGTCGCAGGGTCTCTGGTTTTCAAAAAAGGGCGACGCTCGCGCGGTCGCGTCGTCGCGCGCGCGCCCCGGGCTTCTTCGAAAGCTGCGGGTTTCGTCTGGATGTCAAAATCGAGTGCCCAAGAAACACGCAGACACTTACCTGCGCGACCACCCTTGGTTTTTTTTTTGGGGGGGGGGGGCGAGGGGGGCCGACGTCTGACTCAATCGATCTCACGAGCGATCTCGCTCAACGGGGAGCGCGGGACGGGGGCACCGCGGGGCACCGCGGCACATTTGGCGATCTCGCTGCCCATTTCATTATCGATCTCATTCAACGGGACACCACGGGACAGGGCCATTTCTTCTCGGGGTCTTCTACGATATCACTATGATTCGCACGGACAGCGCCACTTCGGACGCCACATGGTCTCACGGGGACGCACTATCGATCTCATCTTAGGCTTACGCCACACCGCCGACCCCTTGTTTATGCCAATCTGGGGGTAGTAGAAGCTGCGAAGGGGTGAAAAGGCGAGTGATATTTGTTTGGTGTCTGTTCGCCGCCACCGCCAGAGGGTCTCGGGCAGTTCCGCGGGGAGGTCCGAGCGGACAGCGACACTGCGAGTTTTGGAGCCACTCGGGGGCCGTTTCGGAGCCTCTGGGGTGCTTCTTGGGGGTTCCTTGGGGCGTCTGGGCGGCCTCGTGAGGGCCTCTGGGGGCCTCTTGGGGCACTCTTGGGGCCCCCTGGGGCTCCTGGGGGCAGAAAGCTAGAGTTTCAACATGTTTGGTCGCCCTCTTGGGCCCCTCGTGGTGCCGTCTTGGAGCCCTCTTGGGCCGTCTTGGGGACCTCTTGGGCCGTGTTGGGGCCGTCTTGGGCCGTCTGGAGGCCGTCTTGGGGGCCTCTTGGGCCATCTTGGGGCTGTCTTTGGGGCCTCTTTGGCCGTCTTGGAGCGTCGGGAAGCCGAAAAGGCGGAAAAGCAAAACACATCGAAAAACACGATGGAAAATCAACAATTTTAGACTCTTGGGGCCCTTTTGGGAGGCTTGTTTGGGACCTCGGGGGCCGTCTTGGAGACCTCTTGGCCCGTCTTGGGGCCATCTTGGGCGTCTTGGAGGGGTCGTTTGGCGTCTCGGAGCCTTCGTGGGCCGTCTTGGAGGCCTCTTGGAGCCTTCTTGGCCCGTCTTGAGGCCCTCTTGGGCCCGGAAAAGCCCTGGAACCGCTCGTCCCGGCCGTGCTGCGCTCGTCCCGGCCCCCTCCCCCCCTCCAAATCGGCCCTCTTGGGCCGTCTTGGGGACCTCTTGGGCCGTCTTGGGGCCGTCTTGGGCCGTCTGGAGGCCGTCTTGGGGGCCTCTTGGGCCATCTTGGGGCTATCTTTGGGGCCTCTTTGCCCGTCTTGGAGCGTCGGGAAGCCGGAAAGGCGGAAAAGCAAAAAGCATCGAAAAACACTCTGGAAAATCAGCAATTTTTGACTCTTTGGGCCCTCTTGGGAGGCTCATTTGGGACCTCAGGGGCCGTCTTGGAGACCTCTTGGCCCGTCTTGGGGCCATCGTGGGCGTCTTGGAGCGGTCGTTTGGCTTCTCGGAGCCTTCGTGGGCCGTCTTGGAGGCCTCTTGGGGGCTTCGTGGCCCGTCTTGAAGCCCTCTCGGGCCAGGAAAAGCCCCGTGGAGCGCTCGTCCCGGACCCCCCCCCCCCTCCAAATCGACCGGACCGGGCTCCCGGGGGAGGGGTTTGGGGAGGGGGAAGCATCTCGCGCGCCGATGATCCCCAAGGGGTCGGCGGATTTCACTCAACGGGGCGCCGCGGGACACCGCGGGGCACCTGTCGATCTCACAATCGATCTCACTTTCGATGCCACTTTTTGGGGCGCCGCGGGACACCTCGGGGCACCTCATCGATCCCACTATCAATTTCACAATCGATTTCATTTTTGGGGCGCCACGGGGCCCGGCGGGACACCGCGGGACACCTGTCGATCCCACGATCGATCTCACGTTTTGGGACACCACGGGGCACCTCGGGGCGCCGCATCGATCTCAATATCGATCTCACTTTCGATCTCACAATCGATTTCACGGTCGATCTCACTCAACGGGACACCGCGGGACACCGCGGGGCACCGCTAGGGTCACCGCTGGACGGACGGACGGACGGGGGATAATGATTTGTCATGACTTCGCCCTAGCAACGGCGGACACCACGGGACACCGCGGGGCGCCGCGGGACCGCGGGGCACCGCCAGGACCACTGCCGGGCGGACGGACGGACGGGGGATAATCATGTGTCAGGGCTTCGCCTTAGCATCGGCGGGTTGACTCCTCTCGCGCGCCCGCGCAGTTTCGCCTCGCCCGCGCGCGCGACGCGAACGAAACGAAACGATTTCCCGGTGGGAAGTCTCCGCCCTACTGCGATCTCACCCCCCAACCTCCGATAGTTTTGCAAGGTCGTTGCTTGTGTTGCATACATATATATATATATATATGTATGTATATGCATATATACATATATATATATATATCTATATGTATATATGTATATTATATATAATATTAAATATATATAATATATATTATATATTATATCTATATATATTATATAATATATCATATATATATATACAAACGCGCATATACGAATTTCTGAATTCTTAAGCAGATTTCTGGTTTTTCATAATTGCCATTCCGTTCTGCCAGTCGGGCCTCTCGCGCCGCGCCTCGGCATCCTGCGAACGCCCTTGCGCGCGCGCTGGTGGGGGGGCGCGCGATCCGCGTCAGACAATGCCACGCGGTCCGCCCGCGCGCGTCGGCCGCGCGCGCGCTTCGAATTTTTTCCGGAACCTTGGGTCTCTGACGCGAGGGTGCCGTCGGTGTCGTTGGCGCGGTCAGCGTCGGCGCCGTCGCTCTCCTCGTCGTCGTTGCCGTCGTCGCAGGCTTCGCCGCTATCATCTCCGCGTCTACCGTTGCCGACTTTGTCATGGCACAGCGCCCGCGCAAGTCGCCGACTCGCGCTGATGTGCCCGCTGGGTTGCGCGCGGCGGCCAACGCCGCCGCGGCCGCGTCGGTTGCGCCGAACTAGCCGGCCGCTGCGCGCGCGAGCATGCGCGGGTTAGCGCGGCCGCGGAAATGCACCAGCCAACGCCGAAGCGCCCATCGCAATCGCCGCGGCGAGGGTTTTGCAAACCACGTAGAGGGTAGGTGGGTGGGAGGATTGCAAGGGCATGGGGTGTGTCAATTGTAAAAATCAAATGCACCCCATGGATGGCATCACATATATTTCGCAGCGCCGGTTGCGCCGCATTGGTTACGCCATTTGTATTGCACATCACATATATACAAATGTATGCATGTGTGTATGTATGTATGTATATATATATATACATATATATATATATATACATATATTTATACATGTATCAACCCGTGTGATGCCCATGCTGTATATTATATGTAGACATGCAAATATGTGTAAACATATAGTATGTATCCGTATATTTATATATAGCAGTACCGACATTGCACCCCGTAGTTTGCACCACGTACACGGCACCACATGGCTTGCTTGTTCCACACATATGGCACCACATATGTAGTGCATCGCATCACCGACATGTCTGGAAACACGTTGTTTTTGTTCCGCGTTGGCTGACGTGTACACACATATGCATGCATGTATGTCTGTCAGTCAGTCAGTTTGTCTGTCTGCCTGTCAGTGTGTCCGTCCGTCGGTATGTCTCTGTGTGTATGCATGCATGTATGTATGATTGTATGTTGTGCATGCATGCGTGTACGTAAGTATGCATATTCACGTTTAGATGTATACGGTTGTCCGTGTGTATGTCGGATATGTACAATAGCATGTATGATGGGGGCAACGTGGAATTTTCATGCTTTGTTGGGCATGATGGGGGCGGCAGGGCTGGAACGCCAAACCGTGCTCCCCAAATCCAGTGCAAGCCAACCCGCCTTAGGTGCCGAACGATGTGGGCGGGCCGTCCCGCCGCAGCAGGGGGTGATTTGGTTGAAACAATGCCGTGGGTGGGCCGCGACCAAACCACGGTTCTGCTTCCGCGCGCACTTTTGGTCGGTGAGGAACGCCGCGTCCGTGGCGCTGGCGATTGGCTTCACGTTTGCCATCATCGCAGTCCCAGGTGTCTCTCTGGCTTCCTGCTTTGGCACATGTGAGGAAGAGGAGGGGGAACAAGAGGAGGAGGAGGAGGAGGACAAGGAGGAAAAGGTGGAGGAGGAGGAGGAGGAAGGATACTGATGAGGACAGAGGAGGCGATGCGTCCAGGAAAAGGTACCACGATTGGGGAATAGGGAAAATGCGGGTGAGGCAGCAGGAGGAGGAGGCCGGGGAGGAACAGTTGGATGATGATGCGGAGGAGCTGGAGGAGGAGGAGAAGGAGGAGGAGGAAGAGGAGGAGGAGGAGGAGGAGGAGTGCACATGAGGAGGAGAAGGAGGAGGAGGAGGATGAGGAAGAGGAGGACGCTACTCATCGACAGGACGTACAGTCACATCATACCACCGACGCGCCTACACTAAGCAAGCTACGTGGAACTCAAACCAGCCCCCGACTACATCAGCGGACAACTCAACCAGTAGTCAGGCAGTGTGCGATTATCATCATCACCACTGCAGCCTACCATGCCTCCGACGCACTACGAGTTACTAGCACCGATCCCAGCTAATCCCACGTGCCCCCCGACAGTAGGAGCGTTTGCACCTGCGCCAGTCAACAAAATCATCTATCCACAGCGCCACAGAGTCCCAGCTATCCCGTCAGCCCGCACGATATAACCCACATTCACCCTATGATTGCCGCGCCCAATGGGCGAGACCTTCAGCTACCATCTTCCTAGCAAGATTCACGGGATCGACGTGAACATCAACCACGACCACCAGCTAGAATTGGATGCAGCAGGAATTTGACGAACCGTGACAGGCATATCGAACCGACATCGAGCGCATTGACATGGTTGGGAAGCGTTGCACGGGATACATACCGCTCACACTTCCACATACGTACGCTACTACCAGTCATCGAAGTTCGACAGCACAGGCCATTTTCGGGCCGCGATGACCGATCTTACGTACCAGCTGCACCGCCTCCCCCAGTACCACCACCTAAACCTAGGATGATTACACCATCATCCATTACAGCTGCACCTCTTGCTACAGCAAAAGCGGCACCACCAGGACCATCACCGAGCCTTACTCGTTATATTCTCATCAAGTAAGGCCACCGCCAGTGACGACGCCAAGTGACGACGCAGCACACAGCGAAGACATTGGGAGCGACGACGAAAGCGACAGCGACCATTACAGATATGCACTCGCGCCTTTCACATTGGGATCCCTAGCTTCACATACACAGGACGACATGCACTGTCCAAGATTGTGGAAGTCATACACATCAACCGACAGCTACTGGCAATAATCTAGTTGGCACAACGAGGCGTATTATATATGTATATAGTTATAGCTACACCTACATGTTCCCCAAGGACCATCTATTACTGGAGTCATGGCATGTCTACTTGATATAGGTACCTCGGCAAGTATAACCGCGAATCGAATGCTTCGTTTGTAACGCCTGCCTCTACGTCTTGCCCCCCCCCCCCCCCCGTTGAGGCCTGATGCGACGGCAATACCACTCTCACGACCGACTCTCACCAGCTGACCATACTACACATGTTGTTATCAAGAACGCCAGTCATGCAGACACGTACTTACCACCATCACCTCTTATGCTAGCAGACGCGCCAAAGTTTCAGTTATGTGCAGCACCCGACGACATGAAGCTCTAGTACAAGGGTAATTGGAGTTCCGCCTGGCCGTATTCTTGATTCACCAGTACATCCAGAACAAGCTGAACACACTCACGATGAAACTCGACTCAAAATTAGTGCGGCAACCATTGCGGTTTTACAGTGGCTCCTTTTTTTGCCAGGAGGGCGATTGGGCGGTCAATGTACGCGATACGGCACACTTGCTACAGGATATCACTGGCCAGAAGGGCTTACTACCAGACCACAAACATTGATGCTCCATCGGCATCAAGATCATACGCCAGCAATGGAAATTCGGACTCCGCATCACTACAAACATTTCAAGCCCCACAACCAATTCATCAACCTGCGGCAGCACGATCGACAAACGAGCAAGCAGTAGACATGAGGCTACCAGCACCACAGGCCACCTCTACAGAAGACATGGCGACTCGCAGCCCGATACACCCACCACCACCTGTGCTCAAGATCCGCGTGGTCTGCCCACCACCCAGCGCAACAGCCGTATAATAATGCTGGCAAGTCGACATTCCGCCAGGCGTGAGCGCAGTACAGATACAGACGACTATCAGAGCATACTTGCACCACATGCTCCACCTCCAATGTTATACAGACAAACGAGTTCAAGTTTCACTCCAATACCAGCAGAGGGCAGCTACTACGAAACGCAACGCGTTGATGACGTAAGCGAGCAGCAACTGCAACACTACCTAACTGTAATTCGCGACCATCAGCAGTATGCCCAGACTGCTTGGACGAAGTGATCAGACGCAACCCGCAGCTCCAGTAGACAACGACACAACGATACAACACCAGATCAAAACGCACCACCGACACCCAAGCCGAAGTTCCGACGCA